TTACTGACCATGCCTTAAATAAGCCCCTTTTAGCACCTTGTGTTAGACTGGACCCAAGCATGGAACTAAAAAAAGATATAGCTCCATGACCCAAGCAAGTGTCAGTATACTATGCTTATTGCTGTTCCTGTAACTCTGTTTTTAGCTAGTTGTAAACTCTGTGTAGTACTGTTCCAGTAAATAAAGATATCCTGCTGTGAGTATCTCAAATGGTTAATTTGTATCCAGTTACTTATGACTTCATGGTTGTGATATATGATCTCACAAATCAGTGTTGACTACAACGATCCCCCCACATATTAATTTTCACGGATTTTTGATGAGCTGAATATAAAATATAGGAAAAATAGTATAAGCACTGGATTTAATTTACACTGAATCATCCCTTCAGCGAAAATAAATTCCAAATGTTCTAAATCACACTTACAGTGGTTCTGAGAATTATTCAGACAGTTAGTCAGCAAGATGACAGAACGATGTAGTTTTTTACTTCCCCAACGATTTTTGCTGATGGTGTGGTTTGATTGATTACATGCTGTGTGGGATTCACTATTTTATGAGAATTCTTAACATGATGACTTGCTAATCTAGTGTACGTATTCAATAATTAACATTCATTTCTTGAATATCTACACTGTATGTGATTCAAGAATGGTAAAACAAGTCAAAAAAAATCATGCATTGCAGAGTCCCTGTTAGTTATCAAATCTAAGTTATATAGTTTTGTTTATAGTAACATACATGCAGTACAACAATACTTGTCCATAATGAGAGAAATTGCTCTGAAACATCATTAATTGAAAAAAAGGCCACCGGTTGGATGAATATTTAAAATGTGAACATAATCAGTCAAAGCATGTCAGAGATATGGCTCTAGAACTACATTTATTAAAACAAAATGGCCATCGGTCAGCCATTTTTAATCCAATCTGAAAAACAAAATGACATGTATCAGAGACCCATAATGTCTAATGTATGTACCAAGTTGAACAAAATTCATCTGTAAACAGCCGGGGAATGCCTGATTTTGATGATTTATCACTACAAAAATTGTTGTCATTCGTCTATCTTGACAACAACAAATTGATGTGCATATGTATAATATTATCAATGACGTATGTGTGAAGATTGAATGTAATCGTTCAGGCATATCTAAGATACAGGATCAGACACACGCACAGACGTACGAATGCACAGGCAGACACATTGATGCACAGAGGTCAATCCATTATTCTCAGAGCCGCTGTAAAACCCAAAAAACAAGAATCATCAAAGAAGAAACCACAATTGCCTGTTCCTGTATTCTCTAGTGTCTCTCTACAATACAGCATATTCCTGATGCATCAATTCTCCTTTTCTTGTGAGATCAATACTTTTACACTTTGTAGCATAGCAACAAACGATTCCCAACTCCCACTCCATTTTTGAAACAAGCAGCCTCTCGGCTGAGATAGCTCTACTGTTAGCAATGCACATTTCAATTAAAGAACAGAAGATATCATTAGAAAATTAACAATATGTATAGTATCAAGCAATGGGACTTGCTGTTTCAACAAGAATTCAAAAATATCACTTTTTACCAAAAATGACAAAAATATTCACCAAAATTAGAGAATTAAAGATATGATTACAAAATGAACAAATCTGAGAGAGGTCCACATGTAGTACCTATATATGTAATATCAAAGCAATTGGACTTGTGGTTTTTAACCAGAAGTCGAAAATATAACATTTTACCAAAAATGACAAAAATATTCACCAAAATTAGAGAATTAAAGATATCATTACAAAATGAACAAATCTGAGAGAGGTCCACATGTACTACCTATAAATGTAATATCAAAGCAATTGCACTTGCGGTTTTTAACAAGAAGTCGAAAATATCACTTTTTACCAAGAATGACAAAAATATTCACCAAAATTAGAGAATTAAAGATATCATTACAAAATGAATAAATCTGAGAGAGGTCACATGTAGTATCTATATATGTAATATCAAAGCAATTGGACTCGTGGTTTTTAACAAGAAGTCGAAAATATCACTTTTTACCAAAAATTACAAAAATATTCACCAACATTGAAGATATCAACATGAAATGAACAAACTTAAAGGGGCACCTTCCAGTTAAGCCTAATCTCACAACAAATTTACTCTCTGGATTAAAATAACAATGGATAACAAAAGATAGATTAACATTGTAAACAACATAAACAATAGTGTCCCATGATTCTTTGGTGCAATCCAAGGGATTGAGCGGTTCCCCTTTAAGAGAGGTCTACCCAAGGTACATATACACCAAGTATCAAAGCATTCAGGCTTGTAGTTTTCAAGAAGAAGTCGAAAAAGTAAAACATTGACATGGACGACATAGTCGCTTGACAAAGTCGACAGCGAAGTTAAAAAAAAAGACATATTTTATTACCAGAAGGAAGAGAGAAAATATTATCCACTTTACAACAGTCTTTTCTTTAATATAGTTATTAGAAGCAGCGGAAATAAGCGTCTGTTTTGGAAGTGATTCTTTGGGAATAACTTACAGAAGATTTCCTAAATTCATAAATACGACCTTATATTACAAGAGCAGAAAGAAAGAAAAATACATAAACACTACAAGTATCATGCATTGTTATGGCAAGCACTAGAGATTTTGAGTTAATCTGTTAACTTCAAAAATATGGTACAATATTTTCTACCATTTTATGTATTTTTCACTAGGGGTGGACCATTAGAAATTTTGAGGGGGTGATACATGCAGCAGAATTAAAAAACAAAGTTGCAGAGGAAAAAATCATAAAAAAGGATAACAGGATAATAAATAACAGGAAAAATATTTTACATGCATATTTTTTCAGCAAACAATATTACCCACAGGGGAAATAAAAAAACTATAGCGAATTCATCATTGAAAAAAAAAATATCACAGAACTAAGTAGAGGAAAAAAAAACAATTTGCATTGTTTTTCTGCTCACCTTGAGTTTCTAATGATCTATCCCTACAGAGCTTTATCAAAAATTTGCAAGAATACGCAAGAATCTTGTGAATGGAGGAAAAAAAAAAACTTTGGCATTCTAAGGGTAACTGCAAAAACAGCGTTAGATACAAGAGTGGGTTTTTGAGGGCTGAG